TAAACAGTATTAAATCACAAAAGCGAAAATTTACTATTTAAAATATGAATAGTAAGACTGGCAAAGTCTGAAAAATAATCTAAGTGTTTAGGTTCTTTAGTCACTGAGCGATAAATAGTACGCAAAACAGTCAGGCTTGGCCTGAGAAATAATTTCTGATTAATAGTCAAGTTTTTGCAAACAAAATTATCAAATTATAAGTCCGAATAAGAAACCTTGCTTGCTATTTCTGAGAATCATTGAAAAATGAACTAGTGGTTGTATGGCTTCAACGATAAGTTGAAGGCAAAGTAGTCGAGCTAAGAAATGAGGTTTTTGCTAATTTGTAAGTTTTCGGCAAACAAAATAATCGAATTACAAGTACGAAAAGCCTTCGCTCAAAGATCGAATTCACATTTCTTCAAACTCGGACCCGTGCAATACTGAAGGAAACCATGTAAAAATGTCTTCTTCAAAAAAATTAAACTACTTTTGAATACATGCGACGAATTAACACAAAAATGTTTCAAATTTGTTTACGACTGCGTAAAATAGTTTCAAGACAATTCAGCGCCCTGTGAAATCAATACCCATAGCTTGCACTATATTTTATGTAGACTTTTGTCACACTTGGTGAGAACATTTGGCCCATTTGGAGCAATCTTGTTAAATTGCGAGATGGAAAAATTAAACCAAAATTGGTTAACACATGTTTATGACTCTGAGTGTGTTGGTCTCTAGACAATTCAGTAGCCTCTTGCTTAATTTTGACCACCAAATATTGACTCGGCCGATAAATTTTGTTTCAACAGGTTCCTGGTCGTGGTTCATGAAATCAATCTGCAGTGCTAACTGTATTTCGCAAAAGTTGGAACAATCTTGTAAAAACTGCAAATTAGAATAATTAAATAAAAATTAGTCAAAAATTGTGTACGATTGAACTTTTAAGACAATCCAGCCACACACGCGCTTCATTTTGGCAACCAAATACTGAATATTTAATTTTGTTCCATGCCTGTTGGGAATTCAAGCGAGTAGCTTTTTTTATGTAAATTTTAAGGTGAACAAGGACTTTTTAAAAAAAAATTACGGTGAACGTGGTCTAGAATTTGACCGAAATCAAATGAAAATTTTCGAACAATTGGGAAATTGTGACATAAAATTATCGAAATCTGAATTGGTTATGCGGTTGTCAAGAAGAAAAAAAATAAGGTTTCTTTGAATATTGCACGGGTCGTAATACAAGCAAATTTAATTTCTCTGACAGACTTCACTATTTCTTAATACTAGTTTGTTAGAATTTTTTTGTATATCCTGACAATTTCTCTCTGCTGATCAGTTCAGTCATTCTCCTGTTCTAGACGCCTAGCACTGCATTGATGTTGTGACGAGAAAGTAGCTTTTGATTACTTACTTAGCAGCTCGTATGACACTAATGTTATTAACCTAATGAGCTACAGAAAGATCTTGAAAAATGTAATCCAGCATTTTCACTTCTTGTCGGCTTGCTTGAATTGTCCACTGAAATCCGGAGCTGGGAAAGGCTGAGGAAAAATAACGAAACTTCATGTAAACAATCAATCAATTTATGCAGTGGTTTGCAGTATAAAACAAGAATCGTAACTTAATTTTAGGGGTCAGCTGAGAAGAATAGTTGTACGAGATTTTCAGCATTGGAACGTGAATAATATTTCAAAAACTTGAGCGATCATTCGCGGATGGAGAAATAACAATAACACTTTTCCATGTTAATAGGTCATTACCGCGTTGCCTTTTGCCTCTGCGTAAATGCGTCTTCGTGCGAAATCATTCATGTGAAAATGTGTTCCGTATACAGGTTCATTTTCATGCAAATCAAACTCATTTTCATATGAAAGAATAAAGAGTTTGAGTTATTGAATTGGTGGCATTTTGGTTTTCGTATATTAAGTGATGCAAATAAACCGCCTGATTTCTGAGGTCACCCAAACTTTCGGCTTGAGTTTTCTGGCGAATATTTAACTGAATTTTAGACATTGTAACTCTCATCTATGATTTTGAAGAAGACACTTTTAAGACATCACTGTTTTCACAACAGAGCGTTTTCACATGACGTCATGGCAGCCATATTGGTATTCCAAAACAATGAAACGGCGGCCATGTTTGCGTACCAAACCAATCCTTTGGGAGTTAACTCTTTTCTTATTTAAACACTTTCTTTTGTTCCAATAAATCTGCATTGCTACTGGCCACGTGACTGGAAACACTCTGTATATAGCAAGGCTAATTTGCATTATAATGTGAAAAAGCAACATGGCGGCCATAGCGAGCAGAGCCCTCTGAAGTTTATTCAAGGTCACATAAATTGAAAGGGGGAGGTATGCGTCATTAAAATATGCAAAAAAGTTTTGCTTCCAAGAATGATCTCAAATTTAGATAAAATGGTCTCTAATTGTAAGAGATAATAAGAAAATTACTAGGAGAGTGTTAACAGTGGCAACATGCTAAGGTCTTGGCTATTTTTAGCATCAAGAAAACGTTTGAAAATAACTAGATTTTTTTTGCGTGTTGCCGTAAAAACGTGATCGAGCCGGCGATGAAATTCATTTTAGAGAAGAAAATCGTGTCATCAAGGCACTTCGAATCAAGACAGTTTCAGAATAATCAAAAACTTTGCTCCGAGGTTGTTTACATTGTCTCGCATTGGCTTCTGTGCGACTGTTTATGATGTCTTCTCGAAAAAAAAATTTTTCTGACAGCACCAAATGTCAAAACAAATTTTGAAGTTCATATGAAACAGTGGAAGTACCGGTGAAATGAAACTGATGTTGAAATTTTACCTGGGAATTCACAATTTCTCTGGACTTTGAAATTTATTTTCTCGAGTTCCCGTGGGAAATTGTTTTTGGTATTATTTCGGGCAACTATTTATGTCTTTAGCTTTTAGAAGAGGCAAAAAGGACTAATGTACGTAAAGTTATATTCTGGTACAAGGTTTTGTCCACTAATAAATTAAATTGCTCAATTTTCTATCGGATTTCGTCTGAAGCATGTTTGGTTCCATCAGTTTAGAAGACTGAAAACAAGTTCTAAACTATGCGATCGTAATAACTCAAATAAACTTGGAGTGCAATCTTGGCACAAAGCTTCTAAGCATGTTTATGATTTGGTCTGAACAGGTGACATCAAATAATAAGTCAAATCAGACACGATCTTTGCCTGTGAAAAAGACTGAAACAAGAAAAAATCAACTCACCGTTGTCCTTAGCAGCAGGAACTTCAGTTTTGGTTCCAGCTCGAAAAGGGCATTTTTTTAATCTGTAAAATAATTCAGAAGACAGCTTGTATCCATTGTGATGTAGAGCAGCTTTGATAGCTTTTGGGTTCAACTCATTGAGTGTACCTAACATCTTTAGTCAGTACCGGACTGGCGCGATGAGAAGAGATAAGGATGACCGGACAAGCTAAAGTTTAGAGGGATCCATTCTTCACATCCAGAAACCGAACGCAAGGCGAGAAGAATTTCACCCATTACACGTCAAAATGAAATCCTTTGACTTTCTTATCATACTAGAGCCGAAAACAAAATATTTTGTCCCTGCCATTTTGTCCCGTTACTTCAACTTTTATTTTGTAATCGATCAACTGAATTATTTGTGCAAGTATAGTTGATACACGAAAAACAATTCTTACCTGAAAAACTCGTGCAAATCAGGTTATTGATATCCGAATGAACTCCTGACAAAGTCTTGACGCCTTGGTTCCTCTCCTGTTGTAGAAAACGATCAGAAAAAAAAAAAAAAAATGCGAGATTGATAAGTCACTCAAAAAGATTTAACTCAAACACGTTTCACTTTGCGAGGGATATTGACTCCTTTAGCAAACTTTGAAATGCAGGTTCAAAATTTGGAATATCGTATCATAAACGTCATGAAAACAAGCCTCTTTCTAAAAGTATGCATCATCTCGAGAAACCACTTCCATTCAAGTAAATCGCAAACTCGAAAGAAGACCTCCAGGCAATTGTGTTAAATCAAACGTAAGCCTAGCTAGCAGGGGTTATTTTGTATAATTTTATGGTAATCCGGTGAGATGGGAAATTTATAAATGAATAACCAAAATAGCGCTGAAATTAATGTTGACGATGGTTAATTTTATGTAAATTTGACTGTCAAAATCTTACCAAACGTTTAATTTAGAAACTTATCTAGCAGTCTTTTGCCAGTCAGTATTAACCTTTCTAGATAACTGTTAGATTGGCAGAAGTATTTTGTAAGCTGGGTGACCAGTGATTCTGATACAATCCAGTTTACAAGTGGTACTTTCAGTTACAGACAAAATTCGTTCGTACCTAATTTTTCTTCGACGCTTTTAATTACCAAGGGAAATTGCTAAAATAATACCTCAACAACTGCAATAGCTTTATAAAGTTCCTTACCTTGAAGGCGACTCAAGGACCGTTACCAGCTGAGACCAGTTTCCGCCATCATTGTTCACACGAAGCATGTGCTCGTAAGACTCGGTTGAAATAAAGTTCTTGCCCATGTATTTGTGGTCCGAAACAGCTCCAAGAAATGACACTTCTAAATTGAAGCCGGCAGGACGCTTTTGCGCAGCAATGAGCGAGAATAAAAGATAGGTTTTTGCTTGTCAGTTTGGTCATGGAAGGCAAACAGCCGACATCAAGAACGCTACACGACAAATAGTTTATTACATGCATGATTTACAATTTAAATTTTCAACGTAATTATCACAAGATGAACCGCCGTGTCGATGGGATTATTTGATTGGTTCTCTTCACTCTAGAATCACGTGCGGAACATATGAATTATTGAATGTACCATTTCCGAGTTGTTGTACCTCGGTTTCATAACAGTTCTAGGGCAAAACTTTTTATGAGATTTATTTGGATCAAAATGAACATTACTGTCAACTCAAGAACATAAAAAAAGAATAATTTTAAATTAGTTTCTTGATTTATTCCTCGTTAATTTCAATAGGGTAAACACGCCGATTTTTATAAAAAATTCTGGTAATGATGAAAGAGATATTTTGCGCTATCTTTTTATTTGTACAGTTGCATAATTCCTAATTCTTAGTTTTTTGCCTGGAGACTCCGCTGACGGAATAATTAATTTACGGTTCTAACAGTTTGTATTCACATATGATACCCCCCCTCCCTCTCTTAGCTTTCTCCCGCTTCCCTTATTGATCAGTTCAAGCGTTCAGTGCGACACCAAACCTTAGCTGAAAGCTAACACTAAGCTGACACAATATTTTCCCGTTGGAGGAGGTGGAGGCTTCACTCCCTTCTCCACAAGAAAGCTTGCTTACAGGCTACTGTAAGTTTGGCCATGCGCCTCCCCCTGATTTTTGCTATACATCAGGTTCCCGAGGCGCTCTCTGCTCAGTTACTTCGGTCCTCAACCCTGATCCTAAGCCTAACTTTAAATGTAGCCTAAATCAGCGCATTCCCCCATGGGGTCTTGTCAGGTTCCTTCTTCTATCCCCGTGAATTCACCGTGGACAACCTCATGCGATTGTTTGTCGGTTTTTCAAAGCGTTCCCTAGTGCCCTTTTTTGAAAGTCTCCTGCATGCGTTCTCAACGTGTTGCCCGTGTTACGCGATGCTTTCCCAGTTCCTTCAGATGCGTTGTTTACACATTTCTCAGATCTTTCTCGTCTTTCCCCCCTGCAATCCGTACATTCCAGTCCATTCCCCGTGTATTTTTCCTGCTTTTTTCTTTTCCCCGTGTGATCAGTGCAGTACTTATACATTCTACGTGCGTTGTTGATGACTGACGTTTCGAAAACCTGAGCGGAAGCCATCCTCAGAGTCAAGTGAACAACGACTGTGCTTGTCAGTTGATTATGCTGCAAGCCCTGTTAGTCTGGTCTGTTGAAAATGATTGGCCAATTGAGCCGTGAAAGTATTGATTGCATAAAGTTAATCAACAGTCACTGATAAGTTTCGATTCCGTCTGTTGTTATCAAATTAAGTTGTTCTGTTTGAGTTCCGTCCGCCGGCTTTGATTAAAGTTTAGTCACTGTAGTAATAGATGTCGTGTTGGTTAGTTTCAGTAGGATGGTGAGAGTCGAGCAGTCGATGGTAAGAGTTTAAGACACGCCAGACAGTTTAGTATGACGAAACAGATACCTTGAACGTGAAGATCTGATAACAAAGGACTGTTATTACCGCGAACACCCGAGCTTATGGGCTCAAAGTAGTCTTGGGTACCCAGTCGTCTCTCGATATTACTGTTTAACGAGGAACAGATTTGTAAAGTTTCGTGAGATATAAAGATCTATTAAAAATATCAAGGCTAATGTTACGTTTTTGAAGACAATCTGCCCTTCTTCCTTTTTAAGCTGTTTCACCCGCCTCCCTAAAGTAAGTACAGTAAGCGCTACGAGCCCAAACAAAGTCTGCGTAGAAGTTTAGTGAGGTCGTCCCGGTGTACGTATGCATATAAGAACTATCTGAACAGTGAAGATGGAACTGGATTGGCCATATAACACGGAGGGACGGAGAGGAGCTCTGTGTCACAGCATTACAGTGCAGGTCAGGTGAGGAGATTGACCCAAAACAACAGAGAGGAGAATGGTTGAGGACGAAAGGCATGGAGTTGGGTGGCAGTCATGTGAGACTGTCAGAGCTCTAGCAGCAAATCCAGGTGGATGGAAGGAGAATGCCAAAGCCTTAGGTGCCTGGTGGCATGGAGAGATATAGGTAGGTAGGTAGGAATAGAAAAATAAAGCAATATGGCTGAATTCACTTTATTAACCTCTTGAGGTACTAACAATAACTGTACATGAAGCTTGCTATCTTAACAACTATCGATGCGATTGCATGCACGATATCTCAGCATCTAAGAGCTAGTCTAATATCACAAACGAAACATGCAGGTGGAGGAGTGAGCATAGAGAGAACCCTCGACAGATCCTTATTTTTTCTTGCTTAGTTTCGCATACAAAAGATTTGTAGGATTGTATATAGAGAAGACGGAGAGGAGGGGAAGAGGGGAAGATGGGAGGAGGGGAGGGGGAGAGGAGGGGAGGAGAATTAGAGGGGGAGGGAGGGGGGTGGTAGAAGAAACAGTTTTCAACACTTAAGAGGTACGACGAGCTTTACTGTTAGTGCGATGTAGAGCGTCCCCCAGGGAAGGGGTATCGGGGATCGTATGTCTCAACGGAACTCAAATATCGTGGGGTCATCCAACCATCCTCCCTACCCCACCCCGAGCAGGGAATGATAGTTTATAAAAACCATGTTAAAGGCCAGAGGTGGGTATCTATTTGCAAAGAACGCTGAAATAATTGCACCCAACCAGAAGTTTATACAATGATCTAGATAAAAATTGTGACTGAAGATGTCAACAGATCGAGGGTTCACAAGCTCTGTCACACCTACTCCACCTACTTTGCCATACAGTCACCTTGCAAGACCTTTGTATCAACTTGGCACATACTTTGTGGATCTTCCTCGTATAGGTCGATAAGGTATTTGCTGAAATGGTCGATAACTTTGTCGAATTGTTTGGTGATTGCCGGGATTTCTGGGCCAGTGCAAGTCGAGGGTAGTGGGATGGAGCCCATGATGAAGCTGTCGTAACACGTCACAAAATTGTTCACACTCATACAAAGATTCGTTTCAGCCTTCACCAGACTCTCAGCGCATTTCATATGTATATCTCGGGCGCATTCTTTTTCCCCGTCTGAAGCAACAAGGAAGACAACGAAGTCATCGGTTACAAACGCAAGAGAAACACATGAAAAAAACCTGCCTGTCTGCCTGCGACCCGTATGAACTTTTCAAATCTATATTAGATTGGACTGTGTAAAAACGAGAGCTTTGAACTATGTGTACATTGCATCACAGGAAATTGAACATTCTAGATTCCAAGAAAACGAGAACCGCGTCGTGGTCCACATACCAAATATAAAAAGGTCTTACCAGGGAGATGGAAAGGGGCTTGAGTACTGCAGCCTAACATCGAAGTATCCCTTTAGTGGCGAGGGAGAAGTGTGAGTTGTTTACCATTTGTTTACTATTTACGATTCAACGGTTTGTGCAAATGGTAAGCGAAAATGCCTGATGGTAAGTTCCGTCCAGGTTGCTCATTTAACATTTATTCAAAAACCCAAATTTACCGAAAGTGACGAGTTCGACGTGATCATAATTCCAAGATGGCGGTGAAGAATTGCAAATGGTAAGCACATTTTGCATCCAGATATTTCGGTTGGAGACTTTGGACTACCTCTCAAATGTTCCGTTTATTCGGAAAATTTTCCGGCTGGTCGAGCCAAAACTGTCTTACCATTTACATTGTGACCGAAATTTCAGAATCTTTGGGTAAATGGTAAACAACTGTTATATCGTCGTGTCAGACGTCACAAAAATCATGACGTCACTAGTTATCAGCAGAAAGGAATGACCTGTGCCCGTGGGTTAAATCTATTGAAAAGGAGGTTGAAAGTTAAGCTAATGCTATGGCTAACCTCGGCTTAACTCCAAGCGGGCTAATTTTAACCCCTTGGCTAAATGAAGGGGGAATTACAACCTATGTATTGGAAACATGTTGTCTTTCTTCATTGGATAGCAGGGTTAAAGATCTTTCTAAAAGCTCTGTAAGCTCAGGTTAGCCCTAGCCGGCTAAAGAAGTGTAACCCACTTCTGAACACAGTAAATTATAAGTATGTTGCTCTGTGTTACGAAAGTTGTCTCAGTAAACGTGCGGAACTTTCTATACGATAGAGGGCCACCAGTTTGTCAGAAATAATCTGCTAAGTCATGTAATTCGAGAATTTAGATGAACCAGTTTTTTGTTGCTGTTACTAACAATCCTGAGTTCTGTCTGGGAACAACCCTAGTCTGCATCAACGTGTAACATTCTGGAATTACAATAGAGATCTCGAAGCACTGACTTTATATAATTACCTGGAATTATCATGTCCCTTATGCTGTTCTTTTTGTATCGCGGCCGCTTGTCTGCACAAAAGGAAATTAAAGCAAAGGCTAATTACTTGGAAGAAAGTATGAATTCCAGGGTGGATTCTATGAGATATCAGTTGTTTTTCTCCGGGGACTATCAAGTTACAAAATTTACATGGCTTTAACAGCGGATTATTGCACGGAAAGTATAACATGAAACGTGTGCACATGCAAAGCTAGGAAAAATGTAAGAAGGTAAAGTAAGTCAGTCAGTTTGTCTGTCAGTCAGTCAGTCAGTTAGTCCGTCCGTCCGTTCGTCAGTGAGTCAGTGAGTCAGTGAGTCAGTCACTCAGTCAGTCATGCAGTCAGTCGATCGATCGGTGAATTAATCAATCAATCAATCAATCAATCAATCAATCAATCAATCAATCAATCAGTCAGTCAGTCAGTCAGTCAGTCAATCGATCGATCGATCGATCAATCGATCGGTATAACAAGACGAGGTTTTATGGCATTTGATTGATCTGACCAACCGAAAATAGTTTTTCTTCATAAAAATAAATGTCAGGAGCCCAGTGATGAGCTCTTGCAAATGTAAAGTAGTCCCCTTCTTTTAAGTCCATGGAGAATGACAGGAAGGAACACGCCAGTGAGACCACCATTTTTTCTTCCCGTGCGTTCGTTTGCGTCAACTTGCGTTAACGATGGGCCAACTTGAGGACGAATTGATCCCACATGAGCCTCTCAATAGGAGTAAAAGCACTTCAAAGAATGTCTCACAACGTTTTAACGAAGATTGGCTACTGAAAACGGCACTTGTTTCCGTCCCCGATTCAGTAGCACGCACGGTTATCATATATGAAGTACTATAAAAGATGCAACCAACCACCCTCCAAAGTGAGTATTGAATGTAGAAATCACATCGACTCGGAAAAAAATTCCGAGTTCCAGATGGGATTTGAACCCACGACCCTCTTTGATCTAGCCGGAATTTTTTTTTCCGAGTTGATGTGATTTCTACATTCAATACTCACTTTGGATGGTGGTTGGTTACATCTTTGATATGCTTTAATGTGACTGCGTGATGCAGTTAGTGAGTTCATATGCGCCAATTCAACATTGCGCTGTGTGACCGCGCGATGCGGTTCCAGTCAAAGCCCCACATTTCACCCTTGTTCATGATAGAGTCTTCAGTGGCTAGAGCATCCGGCTAGCTCACCTGGAGCTCAGAATTTTTTTTCCGAGTCGATGTGATTTCTTCATTCAATACTCACTTTTTTAGTACTATCTTATCAATGGACCATTTTCGTATTCTCGGTTTTGGACTGGAACTAACTTGCAACCGAGGCTAATGCGGGGGGTCTTTTCAAATACAAATGGAATTTATCTCTTTTTTAAATAATATTTCCCCGCATGAGCCTCCATTGCAAGCTAGTTCCAGTCCATTACCGAGAATACGAATATGTTCTAGTATTACAATCCGCTTACCATATTGGTCTGCCAGCTTTTGCAGGTGTTCTTTTTCCTCGACGCTGTAGCTATTTTCGCCTGTACAGATACCAAGGTGGGAACCCATGGTGCAATACTGAAGGACCACGAAGACCCATTTATACAACACAGGACTGCGACATTTGTAATTTTGAGTAAAGGTTTTGTTCTCTTTATAAGCGCATCTGATCAATTTCTATCAATGCAATAAAAAAATAAATCGCTATCGCAACATGAACTGCAAAACAAAACAAAACAAAACAAAACAAAACAAAACAACACAACACAAAACGAAACGAGACGAGACGAGTCAAGTCGAGACAAGACGAGACGAGACGAGACGAGACGAGACGAGACGAGACGAAACAAAATTAAATTAAAAAACTTAACAACATCTCTTACTAGCATAACCTTCGTATCAGGAGTTCAGGATTTCTTAAGGAGGGGCGAGGAGAAGAGGAGAGAAGCGCTCCCCCCTGTACCTTAGTAAATTCTCTAGCTGGTACGGTATGGTATATATAGCTTGAGAATCTTACGCAAAAGAATGTGGAAACAGTAATAAGTTTGCCGAAGTGTACGGAAAACCTCTAGAACTCTAGAAAGCATATAAAACTTTAGTAACTCAAATTTGACCAAGAAAAGAACAATTATTATTATATGGCGAGCTCCGTGAGCGGGAAAGATGAACCAAATCCTGCGCTGTGATTGACCACCCGAGCGGGCAAGATGGCGCTACCTTGCTCGCTCGCGATTACACGCTGTGTCTCGCAAGAAAAATTTCTCCCAAGCCGAAGCAGAAGTTGTATAATAAATCCTTTATCGACGAAGCTTGTTCGGTCAAGATGGCTGGATGTTGGCCTCGTCTTTGTTCATGAACACGCAAAAATAGAACTTGGCCAATATCCAGCCATGTTGACCTCACGCTTGGTCGGTGATATGTTTCTGTCAATAGCCCATATATGTCTCCTCGATCTTCTCTTGATTTGACTTTATAAAGGTATTTTTCTAAAACTTTAATTAGAATTGAATGAGGATAGGAAGATATCCTTCAACTAAGGAATTAAAATACTTTGGGCCTTGATCATGAACAGAAACTTGTTTTCCATTTGTTTTAGAAATACTGAAGAGTAAGTGACAGAAAGTTACAAGTACAGTGAGAATTTCTTGGGATGTATGAATGAATAAAACTGTTTAATAGAACTACAACTTGTCAAGTGTCTTATTATCAGTGTTTCCTTCAAAAAACTTTAAATGGGCAGCCAAAATGGCAACTGCCCGTGCGTTATATGCTTGCCTTCTCAATACGACTCTGTTCGGATTGACCGAAATGGTTCACCAGGACTTTGAAAGCCTGCAAATCTGGTGGTTTAAGCGACAGACAACAAACCGAGCCTGGTGCGAGACTGGTTTGAGAAAGGGTCAAGGAATAAAGACCAAAAATCTTTTAGAGCGATTTTCATATTTGAACGTCGAAAAGTAATCGGTTTGTATTTTTTCCCAAGAGAGCACGGTAACAAATGACGCAATCTGATTGGTTCTTAGCGCGGTTTGGATTTTCTTACCTATGACCACGTTCACGATAACGCGCGCGCGTGGAAAAGGTCAAAAATAACAGAGTAGACAAAAACAAAAAAAGTTACTTACTGACTTAGGGTCGGTCCGTGACCACGGACTTGAAAATGTTCAAGACCTCAGTCACAGTTTTTCACTTTACGGATCTCCCAGCCGGTAAATAACATATATTTGCATCAACTACGCTACACGATTGGCAAAAAAGCAAAACTCGCGCCACTTTTTTATCCAATCAAAAGTAAAACCAAAAGCAATCGTGATTCACTTGCACTCGTTTTCCCTCGTTTGCCTCAGCTACATGCAATTGCTTCGAAATTTGATTGGTTTACTCAAGAGATTATCAAGGTCTCTTACTTGTATTGCCTGTACCTTTTGTGACTGGCTAGAGTGATTACTTTGGTTTTACGACACTCAGTTGAAAAGCGTTCTAATGCGTATGAAAAACAAAAATAGCTAGGTTTAAATCATTACTAATAGCTTACAAAGCCAAGTTTCAGATCGAAGTTGACGGTACTTGTAGGGTTGAGTTTCTTTCTTCGAACGCGCATTACTGGAACTGGTTTTCTCAGTTAAACATATGCTGCGAGTTAGGTTCCAGTCTCACATCAGTAGACGTAATGTTTTGCACTGGAAGCAAATTCTTCTCAAGGTATGTGTGTGTTTATTTTGTCTGCACGCAAAAGTGGGCTTCGTTACTTGCTAAGTCGGCTAACTATCTAGGTATCGCATTGCTTTTTTATCAACTTGTTGGCTTGTTGTCGGACGATTCGTTTTCCGTCACATGCTTTAAAACCTCTCTTGTCTCCCCCGGGGAGGGGGGAGGGGGGAGGGGGGAGGGAGTACTCCGTTATTGGGCCATAAGGGTATGTGCAGCCCCAAAGGGTATGGTTTTTGAGCGGTTTTTGTCTGAAAAGGGTATAGATTTTGAGCAATTGCTCTAAGAGACGAGACTAAATTTAGAGTTCTAAAATGAGAAGGGGTATCGATTTTTGACTCAGGTCTGAAACAGGGTACGGAAAATCACAGATTTTGGTCTGAAACAGGGTACAGGTTTCAAGGTTCAGGCCGCATACCCCCACCGAAAAGCTTAGGGAGTAGCCCCGGCTCTTGTAACGCCATTGCGCACGTGTCTCTCCATTATGTTACACTGCCTTAGTTCTGTATTTAACAAACGTAAACTTCTTCTGGTCTCTCCGTCAGTGTCAAGCAACGCTACACGTCCGAGAGCGTAGCATTGGGTGACGCTAAACTTTGATCAATCAATGCCGGGATCCCTTGCGATTATTACCAAAACCAAGCTAATGTAAAGGGGAGAGGGCGTTAGTAAATGATGGGTGGAAAACGCCTCTCGAAAGGAACAACGAAAAGAAAAAAAAAACATGGAGAGATAAAAAAGCGGCCGACAGAGGGCATAAGAATCTTACCATCATTCCCCGACAATATAGTTTTGCGACACCTTTTCCCTCGTGAACGTCGAAGCAGTGTTTGATGTTGCTGTTACAGTTCTTCATGGCTTCAGTTGCTGCTTCAATTGCTTGTGAGTCAGATATCTCGCAGTCATTTTCGCTTTCCTCACAGTTTGCCGTGAACAAGACGACGGCGGCAACAAGAAAAGCAAGAGGGAGATTCATCTTTTCTGAAAATCACAAACCAAGTGTATCATCAAAAGCAGGCATATCTTTCTTTACCAAATATATAACCGTCAATCATAACTTTAACAAAATTCTCGAATCTGATTGGTTACCAGCAGTCGCTGTTGTAGCATTGTTTGGACAATTTTTTGAGTTCTGCATGTCCTGATGCTATTGGGCGCCGAGTTATTAATTAGCGCACGCCTTTGTAAGGCAGTTGGAATTCAATGGGTTCTTTCCTCGCCACAACGCTAAAGCCTTCGAATCTTTATCACATTTTGTTAAAGTTATGATCACCGAGTTCCAGAGGTTTTCTTTTTCTTATTCGCGAGGAGCGGTGAACCCGCTTAAACGTTATACGCGGCGAGCGGAGACGCGACCTCGTCCCTAAAAATACCCCTCCAGGACCCAAGGTAAATTATGATTAAACCGGATAACAGGACTCCCGACTCCCGCTTAGCGCCGGTCGGATTTTATTAACGGCCGTAATGGCTCAGGTAGACAAATAATTCAGTCGTATTACCATTACGTAGCTAAACAGATAAAGGATGATGCCAAAATACCTAAGAGCTTAAACTTGTGATCAGCTTGCGATACGAGAAACAACCTTTGTCAAGGTCCAGTTTAAAACCACCTTGAAACCAACGTCATGTTAAATGGATCAAACATCAAATGAAACCTTGTGTACACAAAATGTTAGATGATAAGGTCTGGTCGCCTACCCTTAAATCCCCGGAAAGCAGTTTCTTTTAGTTGTCAGTTATATTTACATGTAGCAGAATATTGTTTGCTTTACAAGCCGGGCCCGGCGTTTTTTTCGATATGCACTCTTCATTATTTTGTTTGGAGAACATTTTAATAACAAAATTAAAATTCGCCTGAGTATATTCCATGTAGAGCTCGACACGGGACAATATTTGACGATCAGCTATCAAAATCTGCGATGTTGACATTTTTTAATTTCTTTTTTCTAATTTGTTATATCATTTTTTTAATTAAAACTGTGAGCATTTCTCTTTCTCTCCAATTTAACCGGCCTTCGTGTGAACATTCATCTGTTCATCTGGATCAGTAATTTCCCATCTTGCAATATGTTTGAACTTTTTATTTTTTGTTTCGGATGCTATCAGCTAAACTAATATTCGGTGAAGATTGAGTTTTCGAGGCCTCTCGAAGTGAAAGACGAAAAGTAGATTGCGAGCAGCAAAACGGACACAAGTTATTACTGAAGTGTCTCCTTGGTTTTTGATAAGTCGTCCTAGACTCGTGCACGATTTGGCCGAAGACGCCCGAGTTGGCCGAAGAACTTCCGATTCTCGTTACGAAGAGGGTTTGCGTCGACTGAGTGTTACGTTGCTTAGCAACAGTAAACAGGGTCAAAAAGAGATCGGTCAATTTTTATAACGGTGTTTTTATATCATATTCGCTCATGTGGTCATCTCCTTCTCAAGACGACGCCTATACAATTTGCAAACTCGAAACAGCAACCTGCAAAAAGAGCAAAATCGTATTTAACCCACCGCGGTTTTTCATGAGATAAAACGCTTCCATGGTGTCAGCTGGGTGAATTCGTTCTCGCGGTGGCTGGTTACTAAGTTGAAGAAGCTATGTAGTTCGTCGGAAAAAATCCTTAATAAATGGCACGCCATTTAAAGGCCGTCATGAAAGACTTTGATCCACTGTAATTAGTTTTGATTGTTGTCATCACCATTGGAGGTACATCGACAATATAAAGCTTATATAATCAAGATAGATGCAGAGCGCGTATATGGGATATGTAGGACAAGGAACCTACCGGTTGAGAACACTGTAGTTGGATCAACGGCGATAAAATCAAATTTTAATTCTAATCTGACGAAACTCAATTGCTGAGAAGAATAAACGCTGCGAGAAAAAGCCCTCGAAAGACGAAAAACTGTTTATATATGCTAAATAAAATTGGCCCTCCTGTAAACGCTCGGTCTTGCAAATTTTGTTAATTTTCATTGAGATCCCTAAGTTTAATCAAAATTGCTTTTAAAAGCGATGAAGGTTTTTTTCTTTTTCAAGCTAGCATTTTGCCGTCGAGTGTTTCTTTTCAAACGTGGAACAAGTTCAGTTGGAAGCATGTTTTGCTCTAAGTAAATAAATCCCTCATTTTTTATGGATTATTCTACAATTTCTAATCATTAACACAGTCGCATTGAGTTGTTGTAATAAGAATCACAAGTTACGTTTTGCACTAATTGGAACTTGGTTGAGAAAGGTGAGAGATCATTTGACGTTAAAATGGAAGAAACCCCGATTTCTATTATTATTGCTTATTATTTTTTAAAGGTCAGTTTGGTTTTCTTGCGCAGCCCTTTGATTAAGTACTGCGTCTTGCTCTAAGATTCGCAAGGTTAACTCATGATCGAACAGTCAAGCAGAAACACTAATTTAACTTGCTTATCATGCAAAATGCAACTCGAAATATGAACATTGCATGCAATCCAAGCACTCTTTGTAAACCCATAAATAGAAACGATTCAAAACAACTGAAATTACCGAGATACCAGTATTATGCACTCACCCTGTATGTTTCGCGAGATATTTCTTCGTATTTACTTTTCGTGTGTGCGGCGCTGTAAAATACTGAAGTTGTCACGAACAACTTGAAGTGCAGAATGAGCAGTACGCAGGCCTCAAACACAGTTTTAAAAAAGCAATTATCGTTGCCATGCCCGGAAACATGTTGATCAAAATGTAACAACAAACAGTTGTTCACGTTGGGAAACAAAAGGTGAGGGAGGAGAGCCATAAAAACAACTTTATTGTTTTTCGTTCAATTCTGGGGATTTTCTCCCTTCGAAAGCAATTCGACGAAAGTCAACAGAATTTGTTACCAGTCATGATTGCAACCTGAAGAAAACCTACTAAGTTGTTTCATGCAACTATGTAATTAGGTTGTTTCTGCGACCAATCACAATCTAGCCGTATGTTGTTAGTTGAATCAGCTTTCCAATGTCAAAACTGTTGATCCAAAACACTGCCAAGTAGAAACAAAACCAAACAAATTCAGTCACGTTTTCCTTAAATTGGTCGGTTGCAATTTATGGATAACACTAATCAAATTTTTTTAAAATTTTGCTGATCGAAGTGAACGAAAGTTTCTAGCAAGGAAGGGGGGGGGGGGTGTTAGCGGTCCTTAACTTTATGGGGGTCTGTATCGTGAAAAACTGTCTCGTGGAATTAGCCAAACAAATTCTAGGATTCAGGAACGGACCGTCGAGATGCTCGAGAAAAACAATAAGCAAGGCGAAAAGTTGTTGATGCTCTTTTTACCAATAAATAGAATATCAGTAATAACGGATAGAAATTATGTTCAAAGTGATAACAGCAACGTCAGTTCAATATTTGCACAGAAAAAGTACACAAGGTCCAAAGGGTATATATACAGATTAACCCCAAAGTGACAGAGAAACTGCTTCTCCTAACCACGTCAAGTTTATATCAAGTGAACAGTTACGAGAAAATAGAAAATCATCAGCTTGGCGATATTGACCTGAAGAGTCGCCAGATTCTTATTAGTAAAATTAAAAGAAATGTATGGAGATCAGCTGCAAGAGTTAGTATTTCGGTCAGAAATGGTTAAACTCGAACGCACCTGTTTTGCCATTAGATTTGTAAATCTTGGCGGTGAGAAAGGAGCAGCTGGCGCCATAAACAGCAGGGTTGTTTTCTCGAAGTAATTCAGGAACTGAAGAAAGCTGTATCCCACAGCTTGGGTAAAAATTAGATTTGCAAAACAATTTAACCAATCTGAACAATTAAACTGCGAGATACGAAAACTTTAAATAAAGGAGAGATGTTCGTTCTCGAGATTCTAAGATGCAATATATTAAATTTAGTGAGACACTGTGGGTGCACGGCTGCGCACATTCAGAACACTGAAGAGACTGGCAAGGTTTGCATTCACTAGACAATTTTATATAATCCTTCATAGAGCCGGCATCAATCGTACCGGATGTACTCAGACTCGCATTAGAATGCCGTATCCGTACATGTCGGAGGTCAGCAAATTGAGACTTTTGCGGTCAGGCAGTAGTTGTCCTCGGAACACTGGTATTGGTGCCTTTTTGTAAAAGGAAAACATGTAGAATAGAAACAAACATAAAACAAGATTGACAACCCACGAGAGATTGACGACCCACGCCCCCACTCCCTCAAAAACAAACAAACAAACAAACAAACACACACACACACAAAAAAACGGCACGCTAACACAAGCTGTTCTCGTGCTTTTCATTCTTTTAACATAGCTTTGCAGGGGGTAGGGGGCGGGGGGGAAATCCTTCTTGAAACGATCAGGCCAAACACAAGACCCGTGTACCTGAATTGTTTGAGCAAGTAAAAGGTTTCAAATCTCGCCCACGTCCCATGGCCAATCAAGCATCTCTTTTATTGCACAAAAGCAGGGGTTGTAGAGATTTTCTCTTCACAGCACGACAGTAAATGTGGGGCTTCTCATGCACGAAACAAACGCAATCGAAACGCCATGAGTATCCTTTGGCAACAAAAATGAAGGCTTGAAAAAGTCGACGAGGAAGATGTTTCTAAAGCGATGCATACATATACTTAAGTTTGGCATAATAGATTCGCTTTTAAAATCGCTTTTAGGTGGGACGCTTCCAGCAAAGGCTTTTGTTTTCGAGTTGATTGACCCGAGTTGTTCTCCAGACTGCTGTACAAATACCGGTCGGTACTACATGCATTTGTTTGGGAAACCGAACAAACTACTGCCTGGGTGACCCGACTGAGTTTTCTGTATGAAATTTGGATCGCGCAAATTTTAGGTTTTTACGGTTTTCTTACGATGTTGCCATGGTACCATGAAACCATAAGCTAAATTTCAACCAAGCACCATATCTGTTGACAAAGGTGACACTGATCTGACAAACGAACTCTAATATATAGATTTAGGCCAGCCTAAAAGCGTAGCTCTGGGCAGGGTTGTTCAGAGTCCGATTAAGCTAACCCAGGAAAAGGTAGAATTTTGATTTGAGCTTTGTATCTTTGCGGTGAGGTTTTCTGTATATTGTTTGGCCTTCTGTGTTGAGTTTAAATAATCACCATATACACAAAACAAAGCAGCAAAAAATATTTGTATAGAAGAAAAAGTTATAATTCGGTTAACTACTAATCCTGGGTTAGCGTTAACCGGCTTGCGAACAATCCTGCCCTGTTTTCAACAAGTTAACCTGACATGAGTCCGCGATCCAATCGATAACCAGCACTTGGTCAGCGGTCAACTTCAAAAAAACACGTGACCTCGATGAGCTATAAACTTGAGTCCGCGATATGGTCACGTAATACTGGTCAGCGGATACTTTGTTTTGACAGGTGTCAATTGATCATAACATGGATGTCCAATATCAAAGAAGTACACGGTA